TGTACATTCAGTTTCATTCCCCATTCACCATGTCCAACCTTAACCCAGTCTCCTTCCCTCACTACCCTGTAACCTTCCCCCTGTGCCCCTCATATATATGCACTCCTGTTTATCCTGCATTTCCTCAGTTTGAATGTTGGTCCTCTGGTGTCCTGTGGTCTATTGCTCTAAGGGATGTATCACCACAGAGTATGTGGGTGCGTCACCCTGGGTTAAGTGGTCTGCGTGTACATCTTGTTAACTATTGGGCTGAGAGCCAGCCCCTGGGGTGTGTTTTATTCCAGGTACCGAAAGTATTCCAGGGCCATAGTACTGGGAGGTCTCACCAGATTTCACCTGACCAGTAATTCTGGTCATTATTGAGTTTTTGGATTTTGTTCCACGTTTTCCCTCCCACTCTATCCAGGATCTCCAGGTATGATCCTTTCCTGAGTGGTTGGCTTTGGTAATCGGGCACCATCTAGTTCTTCTGGTCTCAAAGGCCATCATGTCCTAGGGCTGACTGCTTCTAAATGCCCTTGGTGTTTTTTTTTTTTTTTGGCATTCCTCTTTGCTTCCAATGCTAGGAGACCGTAAGCTGCATCTTAGATGGCCACTTGAAAGCTTTTAAGACCCCAGTCACTACTCACCAATGTAGGATGTAGAGCAATTGTGCCAAGTGAGTCTGGTGTCCCCCAGTACTATGGTCCTGACACAGTGGATCTATTGGATCTCTCTCCCATAGTGTCTTATTGTCTGTGAGGGATTACTCTGTCTGTCTTCTATTGTTTCTGTAAGGATTGCAGGTATTTTGTATCACTGGTATCTGTGCAAGATTAGCCTCAGCTGAATCTATCCTTGGTCTAGAGTATACTTCTGTTCACTGACCCTCATCTGATCATCTCAGGTGTTTATGTGTTTATCTGTAGCCTGGTGTTTGGTGTTGTTAATGGCAAAGCAGTATTGTGGACACATTGGTTGGTATTAGCATCTGTCGTCTATCTCTTATGCACACAATTCGGTGTCCTCCCATTTCCTAATGTTATCATGGTGGTCATAGATCCTTCCCGTACCTTTACAATCCCTAGCTAAGGCTTTATTAGATAACAGAATAGCTCATGATTCTCTTCTAGCCCAACAAAGAAGAGTTTATGTTATTGCTAATATCTCTTGTTGCACTGGGAAAAGTAGAATGAGATATCAGAAAAATTCACCAGAAAGCTACCTGGTGGTATTCAATGCCTCCTATACCTAATTCTCCCTTTTTAGATATTTTTTAGTTGGTTACCCAACACCACTGGTTCTTGGTTGCACTCTATATTGCAGACTGGATTAATCATTTTGATTATTATAATAATTATAGGACTAATTAAATGCTTTATAAAATGTTTATCTAATGCCTATAAGGAGCTCTGGTAGCATAGTGGCTAAAGCACTTGACTGCTAACCAGAAGGCTGGCGGTTCAAACCCACCAGCCACTCCTCGGAAGGAA